GAAACATCAGATGTATTGAATTTTCCACGTGGTCTATATTAAAGAGCACTTCACTTAATATAACAGGTTTTTAAAATTCAATATTGGTGCACAATCTCTACTTAAAATATCAAAGGGGCGCAAAAAGGCACTCTTTTCGTGGAACGACCCATAAATACTAAGCGGTTACCGGGTGTATGTCTATTTACGGCGCACACGCATGCAATAGGACAAACGAGTGTGGAGCAGAAGAGGTGGTTCAAAAGAGTTTGGGCGTCCCTTGGGGCACCATGTGCTTTATTCTGTTGTTATTGTTTTTAAGACTGGCATTATGCTGTGCTTCAATTCGGGTGTGAATGAGATGAGGGGTTGAATTGAAGTAGGTAGAGAGAGGCATTCCACATGTTTATATGTGGAAATTAAACAGGAGTTGTGTGATTGCTTAATGGCCCTGATGAAGGATGTGTTTTACCATCTGGGTTGCTTTACAGTGTGGTCACTGTTGGAAAGAGTAAAGCTCTGCATTGTGTCCTGTTCTGAATGAAGCTCAACATAGAGGTGGTAGTCATGGAAGTTGAAGTTAACGTTTTGTTTTGTTTGACTGTTTGTTTGTGTGTATGAGAGAGAGAGAGTGCGTAAGTGAGAGAAATAGAGAGAGAAGGAGAGAAAGAGAGAAATTGTGTGTGTATTTGAGAGAGAGAATGCCTCCCTCCCTCTCCCTCCCTCTCTCTCTCTCTCTCTCTCTCTGCCATGGCTGTCAGCATGGTAAGCCAGTGTGGACTTGGTGTCTAATTGAGGAGCAGCTCCACACCCTGTCATCATTAATCACTGGGGCTGTCTGCCCAGGACCCCACAGTGACACGTAGCCAGCCAGGCAGGCAGGCAGGCAGGCAGGCAGGCAACACAGCTCTCTTTCAGCCTGAGAGAGTGACAGAGGGGACAATCTCTCAAAGTTGTTTCCCAAATGGCACTCTATTCCCTTTATAGAGCACTACTTTTGACTACCCCCCCCCCCCCCCCTCCCCCCTCCCCAGCCAGCCTGCAGAGCAGAGGCGACGGAAACTGAGTATCTCGGTGTTGACTCAGCTGGAGCAGTGAAAGAGGGGAGAAAGATAGATGGAGAGTGAGATTGATGAGAGTACTTGGATGGAAAGAATAGTGAGGCATTTGATGAACGAGTGTAAATGGCCGACAGCGGAATTAATTCCTCCCTCTGGACAAGATTGAACGTTTTGCCCTCAGTTTGACCTCTGGTTCTAGGCCCCTCTCTAATACACTAGTGTGAGGTTGATCTCTCACAACAGTCTTTTAAGGGCCAGTGCCAGCCTCACTCAGGACATTAACTTCATATTTAATACTACATTTACACAGGGACCTGGATATACAAAGTCAATAGCCATGTACAACATGGCAAAGAGTAATAAATAGTACAGTACTCAGTCAAATATATAATATTTACTTCTACAACAGACCCATAGGTGGCAACACAAACCAGGATATGACCCAATTTAGTGGACCTCTTTTAACAGTTTAACATATCTTCAATATAAACTGTATGCTTATTTACAGTACAACCTCAAAACAACAACTTCTCTGTCCTAGTTTTGATTCCAACCTCTGATCCAACCACGAAAACAGGTAGAGAGCCCAGATAAACCATATGTGTGGCAGACCCTCCCCATCCCAGTCTGCTGTGGGCCTTAGCTTGCGTCCACTGGGCATTCCTCCCGATGAGTTCCCGTGCTCAGCTCTCAGGGCAGAGTGATCTTGCTGGTCTGGAGCTGCCCAGCCCACCATGGTTTGGGAGGGTGATCTATTTTGTTAATGGCCCTGTCAAGTGACACCTGCGCTCGCCTCTCTCTCTCTCCCCTGTCTGGAGTGCTAATGAACCGAGAGTGCTTCTCTTGCTAGGGGAGTCTGGGTCAATAGCTACCCCTGAGACTGACTACTAGCCTCTTCCCTCCTGGATAAACCTCCTATACTACACACTATCAGACCGTTCACCTCTTAAGGATCTGGCACTTTTTTTCAATTTTAGCCTAAACTGACATATCCAAATCTAACTGCCTGTAGCTCAGGACCTGAAGCAAGGATATGCATATTCTTGATACCATTTGAAAGGAAACACTTTGAGGTTTGTGGAAATGTGAAATTAATGTAGGAGAATATAACCCATTAGATCTGGTAAAAGATAATACAAACAAAAAAACATGTTTTTTTTTACGTAAAATCTTTGAAATGCAAGAGAAAGGCCACAATATAATATTGCAGTTAAGGCGCAATTTAGCTTTTGACCACTAGATGGAAGCAGTGTGTGTGCAAAGTTTCAGATTGATCCAGTGAAGCATTGCAACACTGGACTATTTTGTATAAAGTCTGCCCAAATGTGCCGAATTGGTCAACTGATACATTTTCAAGTACATAACTATAGAGAACATACAGAAATTAAGTTTACACAGTCCCAGGAATGTCATACATGATGGATCATTAGCTTATACACTAACTTTCACACATCTAGATGGCCGGGCGGGGTGGGTGTGGAGCCAGAGACAACAAGGGTTCAAACTGTAGAACCCAATTCCTACATTTGAATATAAAAATGGATTTGATCAAATAAAACTATGCTACATTTTATCTCTGGGACCCTCAGGATGACAAATCAGAGCAAGATTACTGAATGTGTGTACATTATTTACCTTCAGAGGTGAATGTATCAAATCAGTTGCCGTGCTAAGTTTTATGTTGTTGTGCACCCTCCTCAAACAATAGCATGGTATTTTTTCACTGTAATAGCTACTGTAAATTGGACAGTGCAGTTAGATAAACAAGAATTTAAGCTTTCTGCCCATATAAGACATGTCTACGTCCTGGAAAGTTTGCTGTTACTTACAACAGTCCATGCTAATCACATTAGCGCACGTTAGCTCAACCGTCCCGTATACGGGACACCGATCCCGTAGAGGTTAAAGGCTGGAGAAATAAACCATTATTTAACCAAGACCCAAAACACTGGAATTGCTGAACTGTGGTGTTGTTGTTACCTAGGCTTACGTTCTCTTTTCCAAAATATTAGTATCTAACAAAAACTAAAAACAGAGAAATCTGACCTCAGATAATACATAATACAGTATTGTATTTATTAACCTACAAAATGCTTACCAGGAGAGAGCCATAGTATGCGTCCCAAATGGCACCCTATTCCCATAGAGCTCTGGTCCAAAGTTGTGTCCTACATGGGGAATAGGGTGCCATTTGGGACGCGCATAGCCTTGTTGTTTGCGCTGCCTGGTTTAAAGGCTGTGCTCCTCTCTGGGGAGGACAAGGTGTCAAGAGCTTTGATGAATATTTCTCTATTTACCGCTTGCATTGTCAGTCCTGGCCTTTGTGCAGCAGGGCCATCCATCAGACAGGGAGGGGAGCCAGGGTTGGCATCCCTCTCTCTAGTCATTATTGAAATCCAAATGACCTAGCAGCCATTCAGAGACAGCCAGTAAGCCACAGTGCTGCTGAGACGGCTATTCTGGTCCGCTAACAAACAAGCATCAGCAATTAAACCCTGGCCTGCACTCCCAACAGCCAACATTATGGTGGCGGTAGAGGGAGAAGGGGGGGGAGGAAGGATAGTAGTCTTTAGAAAGAAGCTACCTGGCTAAATGTGAGCTGACCTGATCTGCCTTCTCTGGGACACTAAAATCCTGTCAACTGTTATTATTTATTCTGAATTATAAACTGGGTAGTTTGGATCCTGGATGCTGATTGGCTGAAAGCTGTGGTATATCAGACAATATGAGGCAAAAATACTTGTTTACTGTTATATTTATGTTGGTAACCAGTTTATTATAGCAATTAGGCACCTCAGGGTTTGTGGTATATGGCCAATTTACCACGGCTAAGGGCTGTATCCAAGCACTCTGTGTTGCGTCATACATAAGAACAGCCCTTAGCCCTGGTATATTGGCCATATACCACACCTCCTCAGACCTTATTGCTTAAATATAACACATAGCCATATAGCTGTAGCATATCACTAAATCCTAACTATACTGGTCAGCAGTGCAACAGCTACATTTAATTACATTTAACATATAAATTACCCTCGTATACCCATAATGAAAGTGAGTTTTATGTTAGGACAATATATAAACATTTAATTAAGACAAAACAACTTTAAATGCAATCAAGTATCATTTATTAAACAAAATAAGACATTTCCCTGTCAGATGGATAGCGCTGCCATCGTTGTGTTTTTATTTTGTTTGATTTAATCTCATCCTCTTTCAATGACAGTCAGCAACCCCAACGGTCTCACTCAATAACACTTGAAAAAATATTACATCTTTGCATACAAATACAAAATAAATGGCAATTTATCAAGAAGACTTTCACCATCAGGACATGCGATACTCCCTCAGAGTCTGAATAGCAGAAGAAAAAAAACAGCAGAGATGGAAAGAGACAGAAGAAAATAAAAAAAATAGGCTTATTCCTCCAGAAAAAAAACAGCAGTCCATCTTTGCCATGGTGCAAAACTTTATTTAAAGAGTGTATGATAGGCATAATACTATGATTCAAATATTGTTTTCAATTAGAATACTTATGAACAATTCATTTGGATAGTAAACTTCCCCCAGTTTGAATGCCAAGCGCTCAAGTGAAAAATAAATACATGTTTCATTCCTGGGAGTGAGCGGAAAAAAAATCATAATCTAAAATCCAAAACCAATCTAAATTCCACCATCTCATCCAATCAAATTCAAGCTCCTTTCTGTTCCCAGGCAGGTGTCTGGCCCACACACCAATGTCTCTGGGCCTGTACTGCTGGCCAGCCATCACCACTGGGTCTCTTGCCATTGCAATGCCATTCAGAATCCTGTGGCAACAGGTGGTATTCCAGGCAGGCAGGGTGAGGCCCCGTTGTTGTAGTGACTGGCAAGGACCCCTCCTGTCCAGACAGGGCCTGGTTCATCCATCCACTGTGCATGTCTGAGGTGCCTGTTCTGTTGTCTCTGTGTCCTCAGACATCACTGGTAGCCCAAGGCAGAGGCTGAGCCCAGTCTCTGGCTGTAGAGGGCATATGGGGAGTAGTAGGGCGAGGAGGCATGTAGAGAATGCATGGACAGGCCTGGGGCTCCGGGCAGGTGGGCCTTGGTGTAGGGGTGGTAGCGGGCCAGGCCCAAGCCAGGTGACCCCCGCAGGGAGAAGGAGCTGGGCATGGTGCCGGGGCTGCCGGGCTGGGGAAGGTGGAGGTGGCAGGAGGCAGCTGAGGAGACAGAGGAGGGGTAGGCAGAGAGGAGCTTACTGTCCAGCCCACCAGAGAGAGCTGTGTGAGTACGCAGGTGGGCCAGCAGCTCCTCTGACGTGGAGAAACGTTTGTCACACGGCCCTCCTACTGACACCCAGTTACAGGCGTGTGGCTGGGGCTCGTTCTGCAGCATGTAGCCGTAGGTGTAGAGCGGGTGTGACAGGGTGGGGGTGGTGGAGGATAAAGAGCTAGGGTGGAGGGAGTGGAGGTGGTGAGACGGGTACATGATTTGGAAACCTGATTTTAGGGAGGAGGGGTCGTGGACACATGTATTGCAGTTGCTGCCCCCTAGATGGGGGTGGTTGGGGTAAGTCAGACAGTACGGGTCCCTGCATAGACCCTGCATGAGGGACGGAGGTGAGGCCCCAGTGAGGGGGCTGGAGCCGGGGTGCTTCCCTGGGATCCCCATCCCTAGACTAGACTTGGTATGATCCAGGAACTGAGAGGGGTAGCCTGCATAGGCACCAACTATGGAGCCATGGTAGCCCATGGAGGTGGGGGGCATGGGGAAGACGGAGTGTCCTGGTTTGAAGGGGGAGACAGGGGCGATGTGTCCGGAGCCTAGCCCAGGCTGAGAGGACTGTGGGTCAGCCTTGCTATCCGGCCGTGGGCTGCTAGCGGAGCTGGCATTGCTGGAGTTGGCGCTAGCCCGCATGTGACTGGAGTTAGCTAGCTGGGCCCCATCCAGCCTCTCCTTACCGTGATCAGAGTCTTTCTTCCCTGTGCTGCTGTTGCTGTCTGAGCTGGCCTGGTCTGCGCTCACAGGCTTGTTGTCCATGTGCAGGGCCTGAGAGTGTGATGTCTGCTGCTGTGTGGAGGGGGACTGGGTCTGTCTGTGGGACTGGCCCTGGGGGTGCAGGGGAGGGGAGCTGGAGCTGGGAGAGGTGGAGTGTGGGGGGAAGGACGAGCAAGAGCCGGCGCTCCCGGATCCACCACTGGGCACCCTGAAGCCAGCTTTGTCTGTAGCACCCTTGGTCACCAACCCATCCTTGCGGCATTCCCCTCCGGCCTTGTTGTAAGGCTTGAAGCTAGACTTATCCTCCAGGGACTGGTGCTGGTCTCCAGACTTGTGGCCGTTGCTGGAGGAGCGTCCGGAAGGGTCCTTGTCACTGAGGCTGCTGGAGGAGAGGGAGCCCAGTTTGGACGAGGACGGGGGGTCTGGTTTGCCGATCTGAGAGCAGGTCTGAGCCAGCAGGGCCAGGGGACTCTTCTTAGCGTCCAGCTGAGGGGGTGACACACACAGACAGGATGAGAACACTGCCACATTAAAAACACTCTATATTCACACTCTATACTAGACTTACATTGGATGGTAATTTGGTAAGTATTGGGGTATTCTGTAACAATTGGGTTATTATTCTGTAGTATTTCCACTAGAAATCTATTTTAGCCACTATCATTTAATAGGCCAAATAAAATACATGGATGTGATTTCCATCCAATTAACTGTCATCACAACGAGGTGCAGTAAAATGTTTTATAAATGTTAGTCATAAATTAGCCCATGAGTCATATATCCGCAGAGGGAAGGAGACATAATTCTGCTTGGGAGTTGTTTGTCCCTGTTTTTTCAGTATGAAACATCCCCAACAAAAAGAAAGAAAGAAAGAAAGAAAGAAAGAAAGAAAGAAAGAAAGAAAGAAAGAAAGAAAGAAAGAAAGAAAGAAAGAAAGAAAGAAAGAAAGAAAGAAAGAAAGAAAGAAAGAAGAAGAAAGAAAGAAAGAAAGATTTATGACTGCAATGTTGGCACGGTGTAAACAGCATCTGTTCTATTTGGGGAAAACTAAGGAAACGATTGAACTTTTTCTGTTTCCATCTTTTACAGACAATTACGCACAATATCTGAGAGTATCAAGACACTGGCCTATTTATGTAATCTAAAAAAGTCGACTCAATAATAGGCTTCTAATTTGATAGATGAATTCAATGTAATTCGTTGGCTCATGTTTGTATTATCGAAGAACAAAACTTAAAAGGGAAAATAAATATAAACAGCAATGTAATGTAAACTGTTGACGCATTAGCAACAATTTGATGCGTCATTTGATGCCTAATTCATGATTAATCTCGTAAACTACATTGGATATTTGTAAATATATGTAAATATTTCCAAACATTAACACGGTAGATGATAATTGAACAATTCGACAGTTTTAGAAGATGTGCTTCGCTTACCTCAATGCTCACTGGCGCGGACGTCAGGGGTTGGAGATACTCCGCGTGTAGCAAGTGGCTGCTGTGTGCGCTCAACATCTTTAGAATCCGAATGGGCAGCCTTTTAGCCTGGCGTGTTGGATCTGAGGGAGAAGGTACGGAAACCAGGGGTCTTTTCGCTCCTCTCAGGGGTGAATTACCGCTGTCGTTGCCGGTGCGCTCTGGGGACGGACTGCGTAAATGCGCTTCAGATCCGCGGGAAGAATCGTTCATCTGGATCGAAGCGGCGCAGAGTTCGGGCGAGGGCAGCGAACGTGTAGGTGCAAGTCGAAATACATTTATGAACACACCGTATGATGCGCAAATCAATGATCAATGATAACTACCCGGTTTGTTTTAATCCAAATATACCAACGCTAGCATGGGTTCCCTGAATCAGATCAAATTATTGTCTTTACAGGGGAAGAATTACCTCAAATGTCATCATTCCTTGATCCGATCATCTGTCCCTTAAAAATACTTTCCTTAGAATGGAGCAGAAAGATCATCAGTAGTCAGTTATCACAAGAACAGAATAAAAAAGAAGGACTAAATCGAATATCGCCGTAGAGGATACGGTCAGGCTGCTCCGTCGATGTCCCACTGTCTCTCTCCGTTCACACAACAGCTAGTACCATGCTCATTTCACATACTAAAGATCTAAGGACTAGGAATTTCAAAGCAAGAAGCCGCCGCCCAATAGCGAGTTCCCGCATTCGTAATTAGGGGGACGACTCTCTCCATGTAGAGGCGTGGCATGACTATGCCCACACCCTTACACTCTCTGTAGCAATGTTGTAAAATATGGCCTATGTATAGACATTAAGTAGTTTTTTATTTACATAAAAAGTATCTCTATAATAGATAGCTCATAGCCACACAACAAGCTGATGGTTTCCTGAACAGGTCATTTTTTTATATAGCCTATCCATTCCCCTTCGAAATAACATCTCTATATTCATGTCTGGGTACAATTCTGGAATGTTAATCACTTCATTGCATTGCTTCTAGCTGAATCGACAATTAGGTAATTTAACTAATCTAATTGTGCAATGAATTGGTTGTATTATTGGAAAATTAGTCCTGACAGATGCTATTAAGGTCGGGCTGAATAAAGAAACGTTGATGCTGTGGGTACTCTGCTCTTCCAATGGTCATAAATTGTGTCTGGCATGATAGTACTCATTTTTTCCCCAAGTAACCACATGATGCCATGTCACCTCTTGTTTTTTCGGCCATATAATACATGTCATTGTCTCCATTGAGGTTATACATTAGAATGACACGCTTGTGTCTAGAGATGCCTGTCATGACAACACAACAGCAACTGTCTGACAACACAGCAACAAAATTAGTCACTATTCAACAGACATTATCCTACAACGAAATATGCATCATGTTATGTTACAACAATCAACATATCAAGATATTACACATATAGATTTTTTCCCTTATTCAGTAATACAAATCGAAACATTTCGCATCTAAGGCTAGTTGAGATGAGTAACAAGTCAACCCATCTGTAGCAGCTGTATGTGTTCTACAGTATCTTCCTAAACAACAGCTGTAGCTACAGTGCATTCGGAAAGTATTCAGACCCCTTCCCTTTTTCACATTTTGTTACGTTACAGCCTTATTCTAAAATTGATTAAATACTTTTTTTCCTCATCAATCTACACACAATACCCAATAATGTCAAAGCGACATCAGGTTTTTAGAAATGTTTGCACATGTATTACAAATTAAAAACAGAAATACCTTATTTACACAAGTATTCAGACTGTTTGTTATGAGACTCGAAATTGAGCTCAGGTGCATTCTGTTTCCATTGATCATCCTTGAGATGTTTCTACAACTTGATTGGAGTCCACCTGTGGTAAATTTAATTGATTGGACATGATTTGGAAAGGCACATATCTGTCTATATAAGGTCCCACAGTGGACAGTGCATGTTAGAGCAAAAACCAAGCCATGAGGTCGAAGGAATTCTCCATAGAGCTCCCAGACAGGATTGTGTCGAGGCACAGATCTGGGGAAGGGTACCAAAACATTTCTGCAGCTTTGAAGGTCCCCAAGAACACAGTGGCCTCCATCATTCTTAAATGGAAGAAGTTTGGAACCACCAAGACTCTTCCTAGAGCTGGCCGCCTGGCCAAACTGAGCAATCGGGGGAGAAGGGCCTTCGTCAGGGAGGTGGCCAAGAACCCGATGGTCACTCTGACAGAGCTCCAGAGTTCCTCTGTGGAGATAGGAGAAACTTCCAGAAGGACAACCATCTCTGCAGCACTCCACCAATCAGGCCTTTATGGTAGAGTGGCCAGACGGAAGCCACTCCTCAGTAAAAGGCACATGACAGCCCGCTTGGAATTTGTCAAAAGGCACCTAAAGGTCTCTCAGACCATGAGAAACAAGATTCTCTGGTCTGATGAAACGAAGATTGAACTCTTTGGCCTGAATGCCAAGCGTCACATCTGGAGGAAACCTGGCACCATCCCTACGGTGAAGTATGGTGGTGGCAGCATCATGCTGTGGGGATGTTGTTCAGTGGCAGGGACTGGGAGACTAGTCAGGATCCAGGGAAAGATGAACAGAGCAAGTACAGAGAGCTCCTTGATGAAAACCTGCTCAAGACCTCAGACTGGGGCGAAGGTTCACCTTCCAACAGGACAATGACCATAAGCACATAGCCAAGACAATGCAGGAGTAGCTTCGGGACAAGTCCCTGAATGTCCTTGAGTGGCCCAGCCAGAACCCAGACTTGAACCTGATCTAACATCTCTGGAGAGACCTGAAAATAGCTGTGCAGCGACGCTCCCCATCCAACCTGACAGAGCTTGAGAGGATCTGCAGAGAAGAATGGGAGAAACTCCCCAAATACAGGTGTGCCAAGCTTGTAGCGTCATACCCAAGAAGATTCTAGGCTTGAATCACTGCCAAAGGTGCTTCAACAAAGTACTGAGTAAAGGGTCTGAACACTTATGGAAATGTGATATTTCCGTTTTTTGTTATTAATACTTTTGAAAAAAATGCTATAAACCTGTTTTTGCCTTGTCATTATGACATATTGTTTGTAGATAGACGATTGGAAACAAAACAATTAAATCCATTTTAGAATAAGGCTGTAACGTAACAAAATGTGGAAAAAGTCAAGGGGTCTGAATACTTTCCGAATGCACTACTGTATATGCCTGTTCGGTTCTAAACAACACCACACTGTTCATTTAACCCTGTTAAACTGAGAACACTAGGCTAGCTGACAGACTCAATGACTCATGAGAACAATAAAGAAGGCATTTTCATGTGCTGCTTTAAAATAACAAATTATAGGACATAGAAAGTCTGTGACAGAGCTTATCAAGTGTTGTCAGCAGTGGAGTCCTTGACCATAATGACTCATGCCATTTATCTGCAGTTAAGAGGAAAGGGAGTGGGACGCTGGCTGGCTGACTGGCTGGCTGGGGGTGGATAGATGAAATCAATTCTTCTGCCTCACTCAACAGGATCACAGTCTGACCTGTCATCGTTAGGCTTTATCCATCACTTATCACCTACACAACTGCAGCTAACACTTGAATAACCTGCCGAGATCCAAGAACTTGTGAATGCAGATGTACTCAGGGTTACGTGTGATGTGATCTTCCTTTTGAATGTGTCTGTCCGTCTGTCTGTTTGTTTTATTCTGTCTCCACCGTGGGAAGGAAGATGTGTAAGCAGGTTGGTTATTCCGTTCACAACACAAGCCAATCCAAGAGTAGGCTAGGTTCTGAGGCAGACAAGAATGAAACAAGCTTCAAATAGATTTTTACTCAGTGTCTACTTCTGATCTAAAGCTTTGTAAAATGTCACGCGGAAACGTGCCATGCTTATAACTCAAGTCATTCACTGACATAACTAATTTCTCCATTTGCAAGGGGGTCGGTGGGTTGAGAGAGAGGATAAGTGTGGGTGGGGCGGGTTAAAGAAGTGGGGGTAGAAAGGAGCCCTGGAGGAGGGCAAGAGAGGAAAAAGACACAAAGAGCGAGAGAAAGAAACAAGGGGAGGGCTGAAACAACGGGGAGTAGCTCCTTTCATGTCTTGCATTGAAGTAGGTCTTGTAACAGCTGCTGTGGCCTGTTGGTGACTGATGGCCATTTCCTGTTGTTGATATTTAAGGGGCAGGTTTTCCGTCAAGAGGGTGCTCAGGAGTAGAAATCCCTTTGGCCCTGGAGGCATTTGCCTTTGCATGGCCATATCAAAGCAAGAGGTCTTTACTAGAACAGCAGCCTAACAAAACGCCCTGTCCTGTGGCTATATGGAGCTGGGGCTACATGGCTAGGCAACTGAGAGTAGAGGACCCCACAGACATGCCCCTCTGTCTGTAATCCTGTGATTTATAGACCCACTGAGGCCTGTAATGGATGCCTAGCTTCATGGCAGGCGTTATTCATTTAAGTGGTGAAAGGCTGGTGTTTGACTCACTTGAGTGTGGAGTTTAATGGTACAAATATAGATCAGCTGAATATGTTAAACTAGAGTGGATGGATTGCTCATCCTGTCAATTGTAGAACTACTTCTTGTAAGAGTAAAATAAAGTTTGTTGGTTGTGTGTTGTGTGTTGGTTGAGTTCCAAGTTCATATTTCAAGGGGCTTTCTGTTTGTTTCCAGACCATGTCCATGTCTATAGCCCTCTGATTGTATCAATGAAGCCTAAACGGTGAGAAACTACTGACTGACTGAGTGTAGTGTAATCCTGTCTGCATCCCAAATGACACCCTATTCCCTATATAGTGCACTACTTTTGAGCATAGCCCCATGGGCCGTAGTTAAAAGCAGTGCAATTCATGGGGAATAGGGTGTCATTTGGGATGCATCTACTGTATGCTACAGGCACAGAGAGGATACTGATAAAGGGTCTGAGGGGCAGAGAAGAAGAAATGAATGTAAATAACTCCTATGTACTTATCTGTGACTGATTTATGGGGTGTGTGGAATGGGAATACAGGCCTGAGGCTGGGGCTCTGCTGCTCTAGCCCTGTCTGTGGGTTCTCCAAAAATAATAAAATGTAAGACTGTTTCATGGGGTGTAGCAGACATGCCATTTAGGCCTCAAACATTTAAAAGAGAAAGAGCATAGTAGGCAACATTCCATCCTGGGCAAATAGTTTAAAATAAGGATTTCCCTTGGTTCTGGTTTTAAACAGTCACAAAAAGTATCTACATACAGGGTTCTCTCTTTAATGTTTAGTGTTTTTTCTCTCTCTCTCTCTCTCAATTCAATTCAATTACAATTTAAGTGGCTTTATTGGCATGGGAAACATATGTTTACATTGCCAAAGCAAGCGAAATAGATAATAAACAAAAGTGAAATAAACAATAACCAAAAAAATAACAGTTTACATTACACTCACAAATGTTCCTAAAGAATGAAGACATTTAAAATGTCATATTATGTCTCTCTCTCTCTCTCCTCTCTCTCTCTCTCTCTCTCCTCTCTCTCTCTCTCTCTCCTCTCTCTCTCTCTCTCTCTCTCTCTCTCTCTCTCTCTCTCTCGCATAAATGCACACGTGCACACACACACACACACACACACACACACA